AAATAGGAGACATGTGACCAAATTTGCATTAAAAAAATGATGGCTAACACATCCAAAATAGAAATTGTCCACACCCATGCGTGTATAGAGGCATCAGAAATGGTTCACTGATTCTTCACTTTGTCCACATATGATGCATCAGAATAAGTAGTTGAAAGATATGTTAGACCAAATGGTGAGTTTTATGAATTTGTAAACAAAAAAAATTAACGTAACAAAAATATGCAAAATAGTAAATAATAAAGTGGCATGTCGTTTTGCGAATTTGTATGTTTCTTAAAAAAAATTTGTGTGTTTGTTGAAAATGAATTATACAACACTATTTAATCTCTTCTAACTATTTTTTTTGGGTCACATTCGATTGATATTACTAAGCCGATAAAATGATTAAACCGGGGCAAGCCGGTTCCGAGTACAATGCCGATTTGGCTAGGCCATCGGTTTTTGAGTTTTTATCTCTTTAAAAAAAAGGATGAAATTTTGAGAAATAGGGAGAGATTGGGGGATATCTTGTAGAATACCGTAGATCTCCAGTTCAAATTCTCTCGAATCGATGAGATTGATAAGGTTTTTGGAGTCTGAAGCGAAGTCCCAGATTTCTAGCCTGGATCAGAGCTTCCCACAAATTAAATAGGATTTTATTTTCTAACTCTAAAACTCTCAAAAAATTATATAAATAGGATTTTCTTTTCTTTTTACATTACAAATTGAAATCTCAAATATATTTCACAAACATAAACTTGCGATTAGAGGTATAAAAATGGTGTTTTTACCCAAAAAAAAAAAAACTTTAGTAAGCTTCGGTACGTCAAAAGCCTAGCTGTTCAAAGCATGTGTCTACCCCAAGCCCGATAAGTTCACTGATAAGTATGTTTATCCCTAGTTGGATTCGCAAATGTATGTGTAGTACTTTTCTTTTTGTAAGTATGTTAAACTAATTAAACAACATTGTTTTCCCAGCAAATAAATTCATAGATAAAAGATGTTAATTGAAAATAAATTGCGGATATGTTACTAAATTGCATTATGATTAAATACTAAATATGCATAAGTAACCCGAAAAAAACAAATTATATGAACTACAAGACCACTTTTGTGAGCATCCCCAACCAAATTATTTGGTTTTATAATCTAAAATGAATTAACTCCAAAATTGAATTGTGTTTTACTAAAATCCCATTCCAAAATAGAATAATAATTTTAAAAAATAGAGCAATGATTAGAATTACTCTAAATATGAAATCATTTTACTCATATTAGAATTAGAAATGGAGTAGAATTGAAAGAAAATAATTTATTTCTAAACTCTTTTTTTTCCTCCGCTTAGATTCTATACAACAGTATTCAGAAATGGACTCTCCTTTAGGTAGGGCTGGATAAAGATACCCGCTACCCGTCCTTTACTTTTTACCCGGCTCATACTCATCTCGAATATTAAGGTATCCGTAACTTCGAGTCGGGTAAAGGGTACTATAATTTTGATACCCGCGGATAAGGGTCAGGTAAAAGGTATCATTTTTTTCACTATCCGTCTCGTTATCCGTCTCCGTACTCGATTTACTACCCGATCCGTAAATACTCACATTTTATATCACTAATATTTGATAAACTTAGT